CGAGGGGCCCAAGGACAGCCCGCATCATCAAGACCCTCAGCACCCTCGTCCTCACTCCCGCTTCCTGGGGGATAGCGCCTCCCCCGTGTCGCACCACTATGCTGTGTTACGCCGTGGTTGGCCACGTAATCCGCCACCGTGCTGCGAGGCACGAGTTGGAGTGTCCTCAAATCTCTTCCTCCGTCCTCAGTCCAGACGCTTGCTCATCGAAGGGCCTGGGCCCCGAGTCACCGAATTTCCCTGGGCGCAGCGCGTGCTGGCGCGTGCTCTCGCGAGACTGTTCTGGGACCAGAAGGCCCCAGAGCATCCGAGAGGTTTCCGAGCCGGTGCAAGAGGGTGCCGAGACGGCCCGAGAGCGCTGCAAGACGCCCCAAATGGCCTCCAGACGTTCCCAAATGCCCTAATACACTCCAGGAGGGCTCCAAGAAGCACGCGTTCTCGCCTTTTCGGCTGTCCACCGCTCCAGGACGGCCCAAACTCCCCTCTCCTCATTCTCCTTCCTTCTTCTCATTCTCCCACCTCCTCCTCTCACCTCCTCCTTCCTCCCCCTCCATGTCCACACTGCCTCCTCCGCTCCATCCTGCTCGTCGTCCTCGTCGCCGCCCTTCCCCCCTCCTCCCTCCTGCGCACTCCTCTCCTGCCGCCCCCTGCTGGCCCCGGCCTTCAGGGTGGCCTCGAACTCGGCCTTGTCCTCGGGGGGGGAGGGCGCGCCCGAGCCCGAGCCCGAGCCCGAGCCCGAGCCCATGCCAGCCAGAGCGGGAGCCGACGCCAGGGGGCCACATGCGAACCCTGCCCGTGCCCCCCGCGATTTCTGAGGGGGAGCGTGGGATTCATTCCGCTCGGGAGCTCCCGCGCGAAGGGAACCCCACCCTCCCTTCCAAAATCGTGAAGGGTAGGGGGTAGGGTTCGCGTGTGGCCCCCCTGGGAGCTGGAGAGCCCGAGCCCGAGCGCGCAGCAGCTGGGCAGGGGGTGGGCGGGCGGCCCCCGCGGCGGGGTGGCGCGGGCTGGCAAGCCGGTGGGGGGGGGGGCGGAGGCCGAGCCGGGGAGGCCCGGAGCGGAGGGCGCGGAGGCGGAGGCGGGCGGGGAGGATTGCACAAAAACCCAGGATTGCAAAAAACCCAGGGTTTTTTTTGCAATCCTTCGTCCAGGGTTTTTTTGCAATCCTTTTTTTGCAATCCTTCGTTCAAGAGGGGCGGGAGGCGGGCGGGGACGACGGGGAGGAGTGTGCTGGTGGTGGGGTGAGGACGGGCGCGTCAGTGCCAGGGGTGCTCCTGCTGGGGAGCACGAGGGAGAGGACGAGGAACGGGATGTGGCGAGGCGGAGGCTGCGCATGGAACATATAGGGGGAAGGATGTGCAGGATCGAATGTGAAGGATGGCGATCACGATAACGCTGATTCTTAGGATGTGGTCTGTCGCTTTGTTGCCTTGCTTTCCATATTCTGCTCGACCCGCCAAAAGTAGGGTCGTAGCCTTCTCTTATGCTCTGGCAGAAGGACAACTCAGATGGGGAAGAGGCAACGTATACAGGTGCTGCACCATGTATCTCACAAGTCAACCAACCCAACGCACAGGCTTCTCATTGAGATGAAGGGCTCGCGGATCTGGGCGTGGTGCCGACATGGCAATACTTACACTGCGAACAGCTGCAGCGCATGAACTTGCGAGGAATCAATACCTGGAGCATGGGAGGCCTCTCAATCCACCCACTTAGTCAAATAGTTGCTCGACTCCAGAGCCGGAGAGACCTGCGCCGAATACATCAAGGCGTACTTCTTCACGTCCTTGGCGTTCTCCCACTCGAAATCCGCCACCGTGCTTGCAGCGGATGGGGTGCGTCGGGCCCTTACGCTATTTGCGAAGCATCCACTACGAGCCCCCCAACTCATCCAGCCCAAGCTGCATTCATGCTTGTGACCAAGTCTCATCGTTTTTGGGCTTCCAGGCACACAATGGTCACAATGGTTCCAAATACCCCGCCCCCACGCCCCCCGCCCTCTCCGCAGAAGCCTTCACAACCCCTGCGCCAGCCCGAGCGCGTTGGCGGAATCGCGCGGCAGTGCGATTGGATACTTCTTGCCATCCTTGGTGTACGCCTCGCGGCCGAAGTGGCAATAGGCCGCCGTCTCTTGGCTCGCGAAGGGCCAGCGTTACCGCGATGGCGCCAGGGCGGCAGTCGAACTCAATCTTGAGCGCGTTGGTGATGTCCTCGGCTGGCAACTTGCCCTGCTCGGTGCCATAGGTCTCGAGGAAAAACGACAGCGTCTTCGCGACGCCGGTGGCGTAGGACAGTTGCACCAAAACGCGCTTGCACAGGCCGCTCTTCACCACGGACCTGGCTATCTGCCGGCAGGTGTACGCAGCCGAGCGGTCCACCTTGGTCGGGTCCTTGCCGGAGAAGGCACCGCCACCGTGGGCGCCACAGCCCCCGTAGGTGTCGATGATGATTTTGCGGCATGTAAGGCCCGCATCGCCCTGGGGATCCCCGATGAGGAACTTGCCCGACGGGTTGATCTGCAGATGCGTGTGGTCTCAGAGGAGGGTGAGCGCCAGCTTACCACTCTTGAGCTTGATCTATGAGAGGGTGCTCTTGATCACTTTCTCAACGGTCTCCTTGTTCACAGCATCCATGCTGGGTGCAATCATCTTGGCCCCAGGGTAGCCGGCGCACTCCTTCGTGCGCGTGGCCTTCAAGGGCTCAGCGTGCTGGGTAGAAAATACGATCGTGTGGAACTTCTGGGGCTCCACGGAGCCGTCGGCCTTCTTCACATACTCGATGGTGACCTGCGTCTTGCAATCCGGGCGCAACCACTAGCGAGCCGTTCTTGCGCACGTCCGTCAGTTTGTGGCAGCGCTTTGTCGCGACCGACTGGGTGAGCGGCATGCAGTCCTCCATCTCGTCGGTGGCGCAGCCAAACGTGATGCCCTGGTCGCCTGCGCCGACTTCCACATCGTCCTTGCCGACGTGCACGCCGCCGGCGATGTCGGGGCTCTGCTTGTTGATGCGGGCCAAGCCCTCGCACGCGGTTTCGCCGAGATCCCTGCTGTCCACGCCGGACACGTCATCCACGCAGGTGTCGGAGCCGAATTCCTTTACCACCCCGCGGACGACCTTCTCGTACTCGATCGCTGTCTGGGTGGTAATCTCACCCGCGACCATGACCATGTTGTCCTTGGTGGCGGTCTCGCAGGCAACCTTGCTCTTGGGATCGTCCTCCAAACAACAATCTCCAACACGGCATCGGGGTGACCTGATCGCAGAGCTTGTCAGGGCGGCCTTCGTTCACGGACTCCGTTTGAGAACAGGAAAACACGCTCGGTCTTGCTTTCGTGGTTGCAGGCTCGCCCATGGTTGAGGTCTTCGCGCGGTTCTGGGTGCGGCGGTCTCGGGCGAGCGTGTCACTCAAGCACGAACTTGATCTGAAACTGGAAACCAAACTGGCTGCTGATGATGATGATGATGCTGATGATGATGCTGATGCTGATGATGATGCTGATGATGCTGATGATGTTGATGATGATGCTGATGGTGATGTTGATGATGAATGCGCGATTGAAAACGTAGGGCCGCCTCGCTGCTGGCTGGAGGGGGCACGCAACGCCCAGAGGCGGGGGGGAGAGGATGATGAGTGCAACACGGCGTTTTTTTTTTGAACTACAGGTCCGCCATGATGCGCCTCGGCGAAGAGACAATCGATCAGCGCAGTGGGGCGGGATGGGTAGGAGGGGCAGGATGTCAGGTGTGGCGCGCGCACCTGCTTAGCCTGCCCCTCGGCCTCTCGCCCTCCCCCCCCCCCTCCCCGCCCCTCGCCCTCCTCCACCCCTCCGCGCCGCGCCAGGCTGCCACGCGGCCCGCCCCCGTCCCCACCCTTCCGCCCTCCACCATCCGACCTGCGGCGCGGGGGCTCTCCCGCGGGGGCCCCTCGCCGCGGAGGCTCCGGGCCCCGCCAAGCGAACCCCGCCCGCTCCGGCCACCGCCGCTGCTTCTGCTGCTCTTCCCTCCACGTCCTCCAACCCCCACGCGACCTCGTCCTCGTCGCCCTTCTCCGGCTCCTCCCCTTCCTGCCGTTGCTCCGCCTCGGCCTCCACCTCCTCAGTCCTCCTCCTCCTCCTTCTCCAGCAGGACTTCGGGCTGGATTGCATCAGGGGGCCAGCCCAGGACGAACAAGACTGGCTTGCTGCGGAAAGCCCCTCGTGGTGGTGCCGGGTCCGTCAAGTCCGCGGGCGGCCAGGCGAGGGAAGGGAGCCGCGGCGGGGGGGACGAGGTGGACGTGGAGGCGGGGGCAGGCGGTGGGGTCTCTGCTCGCCTGTGCAGTGCCAGGCTGCAGCCCCCCAGAGCGCCATGGCAAAGCTCTGCAAAGCCACCTTCGTTCGCTGGCGCTCTCTCGGACGGCGGCATGGAGCGGTATGGCTCGGGCAGAGGTGGGCGGCGCCAGCGAGACACGGCGCCACGCGCAGGTCACTGGCGCCGCCGCGTGCCCGAGCCAGCGATCTGCCCAGCCTCCTTGTGGAGAAGGCCCTGCAAAGAGCGGCTCAGAAGGGAGGAGGAAGCAGGGGAAGAGAGGATGAGGAGGAGGAGGATGAGGAGGTCAGAGGAGGATGAGGAGGAGGGCGGAGGAGGCGGAGGAGGAGGAGGATGAGGGTGAGGATGAGGATGAGGATGAGGAGGAGGAGGAGGAGGAGGAGGCATGAAGTCGCAGGGAACCAGAAGGCGGAGTCGACGGGCGCGTGACCGCGGGGGCGTGCGCCGCGCCAGACCCCGCCGTGCGGCGCCCGCGCGCCCCTGCCAGAGGCAAGGGGCGGGCCCAGGCAGCTCGGTGCCTGCAGCAGCAGCAGCAGCAGCAGGCCGCCGCCGCCGCCCGTCCGCGACGCCCCTCCGCGGCCGCCGCGGCGTGCGCGAAGCGCGAGGCGTGCGCGGCGGGGTGCGAGCTCGACCCCGCCTTCCTCCTTTCTGGAAGGTTTTTGATTGGTCGACTGGGGGATCGACTACAGAATCGAGCTACCCCAGGATCGACTTCCACGTCGGCTCTCCAACACACGTGCGTCAACCATTCGTAGATCTGCGAACACTCTACAGATGCCCGTGGATTCGACAAGAAGCATCAATTCTGGGCACATCAGTTCTGTGGTCGATCCCCTACTCGAATTGGGGGAGGGGGGGGCGGGGCGGGGCCGGGCACCGGCACTCCCGAGGCCGAGCGTGGGCCCTCGGGAAGGCGGGGGCAGACCCCTCCCCTGGGCCTTGTCGATGCTCGCGTTGATCTCCGCGATCACCTCGTTGGCCTGCGCCTGGGCCTTCTCCGCCTCTGCCAGGCGGCTGGTCGCCTCCTGAGGCCGAGGGCGGCAGCAAAAAGGCGACTCGTGAGGTGGAGAGGGATGGACGTGGGGGCGATGAGGGGGACGGGAAGAGATGGGAGGTGGGGGAGGAGAGGGTTGGGGATGGTTGGGGCTGAGCGAGGGGACGGCGAAAGAACGAGGAAGGCAGGGGGAGGGAGGGAGGGAGGTAAGCACGGTTCAGGGAGTCACTGACGGAGGAAGGGGACTGGAGGGGAGGGGGGGAAAGCAGAGCTGGGAGACTGGAGGGGGCAATAGCGAGGGATGGCGTGACCTCGTAAACCCTCGAACTCCTCCGAGCAGCACAAAAATAGTTACAACTACGACAGTCGAAACTAACCTCCCTCACTTAAGGGAGAGAGAGAGAGAGAGAGAGGGAGAGAGAGAGAGAGATGGAACGGGTAACAATGATGTCAACGAGGACAATACTTACGCAGTCATGGCGTCCGCTACTCCACCTCGAAAATAAGACACCGCATCTCACCTGGACCTCCCTCACCTCCCCAATCAGTGCGTCTCCCAGTGCCCAAAAGGCGACCCCCATGCCATGGACAGCAACTAGGAACTAGGAAGCGTGTGGCAAATTCCCCGTCCCCGATCCCCACCCCCACTTCCCAGTGTCCTCTTCTTTGCCCTCCTTCGACGACGCAGGAGGAGAGAGGACGAGGAGCGGAGGCGTGACGGTCACGAAGAGAAGCAAGGGCAAGAGCAGGGGGAGACGAGGAGGGAGGCCTGACGAGGGCGGACACATCAAAGTCTGACCGATCGAAAACGCACGTTCGGCGTCGGCGAGGAGGGGCCCGGGTGCCGACGGCACATGCCAGGGAAGCAAGTGCCGATCGCTGCGCGCGCAGCCCACGCGCGCGCACGCGGGGGGGGGGAGCTGCACCAGACGAGCGTGTTCCACTACTCGCAAAACGCCCACTCGCAAATGGCCTGGGCCCGCCGCGGGGGACCTACGACAAAAATCACATCAGAGCAGGCACGTGCTTTTCGGGCCCTGGCGAGCAGGCACTCTGCGAGTCGTGGAGCGCGCTCGGCGATGCACGCGCGGGGGGGCCGCGCGCAGCTGCACGCAGCGCGCCGGCTGTGGCGGGCCACGTCACGTGCACACCGAGGCTTCTTACGTGCGCGTGCTCGGACGCGCCAGGAGGCGGGCGCCGGCGCGCCCGCGGGCCCGAGCAGGCTGCCTCGAAGGAGGCTCCCTGGGCTCGCGGGTGCGATCCCGAGGTTGCGAGAGAAATGTAACTCTGGAGTGCAACACGGCGATGCCAAGGAAGCGTGGGAGGAAAACGGGGAAGTGGAAGGAGGAGGAGGAGGAGGAGGAGGAGGAGGACCTCGTGACACTCAGACTGGCAATGTTGTGATGCTGTCGGGTGCAAGAACACAGCGCGCAAGGTGATGGCGGGAGGGCGATGTCGTTGAACTTGGCGATGGCGTCATCGATATCGCCCTGGATCTCCTTCTCGCGCGTGGCCATCGACCTGCTTGAGGCGTTATCGAGGGAGGGCGTCTTGCCTGCCAAGTCTAGGTCGACGTCCACATGACCCGACCAGTGGAACTAGGCACCCCGAGTAGGTACAACCCTCGAAAAGACGATCAAATCAGAGGTTGGGAGGTGAGGCCGGAGTGATGTGCGAGGTGCCCCAACAGGGACACCGATTTCGGTTTCGGTTCGTGTCGTGCGTGATGTGCGTGCGTGGCGTCTGGAAGAGGCCAAGCCAGAAAAAATGAGTCACCCCCGAGGCGGCCGTGGCGCGGGGTTGTTTGGATAGGTTGTCCCGATGATTGTCTCGATGGCTATGGTTGTCGTGATGTTTATCTCGATGGTGGTGCTGGTTTTTGTCCCGATGATTGAACTGATCGTGTTTCCGATAGTTGTTCCGACGGTTGTCCCAACGGTTGTCCCAAAAGTAGCCCGAATGGTTGTCCCGATGGTTGTCCAGATAGATGTTCCTATGATTGTCCCGATGGTTCTGCGAGGCCATGGTACCAGCAGCATGCGCTCTGCAAGGCCAACATACAAGCACATGCTCTCTGCGAGGTCATGCTAATCATACATGCGCTCGCGCACCTACAACACCTAATCAATGAACCCGATGGGCCAACTTACAAACAATGGTGCCCTGCGTGCCGCCAATCCATAAACGGCACCCTGTGAGCAAACAACTATAAACATGCGCACTGCGGGACAATAACCGATGACACATCGACGAGAAGCAATGCGAACGCATCAGATACCTAAGAACAAATCAATGACAACCCGTGCAAATTCAGCAACACATATGGCAACATCAATGACAGCCCATGAAAAACAAGGCACGGGGTCCAAGCATGGATAGGTCGAATTCCTAGCCGCGCTTGGTTCTGCACAATTCAAAATCCTTGTGACGCAGCCCTGCTTGGATACATGGTGCCCAGAAATATTCACATACACATATATACACGCATACACATACAGATGTGTACACATTCTAATACGCACCTCTCCGAGGGAGTAGAGCTCAGATGCGATTCATCGTGAACGCGCGTTTCTTTGTTTGGCTGTTTCGCTCGGGACACCCTCAACATTCTGAAAACCGGCGCACTCCTCACGCATACCGCGACGTCACGGTCCAGAAGCACAGCTCCTGTCAGTCATTTCACCACAAAGCCTTCAAACACGCGATGGAATTTAGTGACTTGAGCCCGATTCTTCGAGCATAGGGTCGGGCGGGCGAGCGGGCCTCATCCCCCTCCCTTTCTCCCTGCCTTTCCTCCTCCTCCTCCCCCTCCTCCTTCTCCTCCTCCGATTCCTCCTCTATCCTTCCCCTCTTGTGGCGCGACGTCTTACCCAGCCCTTCCTTCCACAGCATTCTCCTCCACACTCCTGATCAGGGCAACTCGTCTGGGCTTCGTTCCTGGATGGGCTGGCCGGATTGCGCGCGGCGTCCAGGATATTCACCACTCACGACGACGCGTGAAAGAAGCACAGAGTCGGGCGGGCGAGCGGGATATGGGCTGCTTTTGGCATTCGGTGCTCGTCCACCGTCGAGGACTGCCGGGAGTGCATCAGGGCGTCTGGGGGGGAGCTCCTGGGGGCCTCTTGGGAGCTCCTGGGGCTTCCCGGGGCCTCTCAGGGAACTTCCTGGGGCCTCTTGGGAGCCGCTTGGGGGGGCCTCCTGGGGCAGGGAGCTCGAAATGCCGTCGTCGTCGCCGCCGCCGTCGTCGGTCCAGCGCCCGCGCCCTCTCGCTGGCCTCCCGCCTCCCGCCTCCCGGCGGGGCGGGGCGGGGACTCGCTGAGGAGAGGCCCCAGCAGGTAGAGGAGGCCGGCGATGAGCACGGCGATGTTGACGATGCCGGTCTCCTGGGGGTCGGGCGTCCGCCGCGTCTGCTTGCCCCCGCCCCCTCGGGGAAGTGGAGGGAGCAGACGACTGGGAGGAGGACGAGAGCGAGAGCGGGGGGGGGAGGACTGGGGGGTGGACAAGGGGGTCGAGCGAGTGAGCGAGCTCCCGCCTGCCCAGGGCAAGGTCTCGGCGTGCCTCTCGGCGCGACGCCCAGCGGTGAGGGGCCTCGTCCCGGACGGGCTGCTCTTGGTGAGCCTGCTCCAGCAGCGCCCCTCGGCGGCGAGCCCCCACGGCGCGGCAGCGCATCTCGGCGAGCCATGCCGCATCAGCGCCCCTCGGCGAGCCTGGCGCAGGAAAACTCTCTTGGCGGCGAGCCCCTGGCGCGTCAGCGCCTCCCACCGAACCCGGCGTAGCAGAGGCTCTCGGCGGCGAGCCTGGCGCCGCAACGCTTCTTGGCACGCCAGGCGCAGCAGCGGCTCTCGGCGGCAAGCCTGGCGCAGCAGCGCCTCCTGGCGAGCCCAGCGTGGTGTGCGGAGAAGTGGCCGCGCGAGGAGCGCGAGACACCGCCCGCGGAGGAACCGGTACACACAGAGCTCAAAGCGCAGCTGCCGTCGCCTCGAGGCGCGGCTACAAGGAGGGCAGGCGGACGCAGAGGTCAGCAGACCTGCCGAAAAAGCACGGGCGAACCTGCGATATATCCTGGCCTCAACGTTGCAAATATGATCGGGTGAAACACTGCGCCGGCCGATCAGGGCAGGAAGAGGAGGAGGAATGGGAAGAGGAGGGAAAAGAAGACAGCAACTCTGAGGAGAAAGGCGCAACAATTAGGTCCACGATACAAGTTGTCGTTAGAGATTCTGCATGGGCGCGCGCAAGGTGGTCGGCGTCTGATCCGCACCGCCCCTCAGCCCAGAAGCCACTTGATCCAGAGTAGTTCCAGAGCTCTCCGCAACCCTCATCTTCCCTCACTCCTCCCTTTGCCCTTCCTTTCGTTCTTTCGTCCCTCCTTTTTCCCTCCTCCTCTTCTTCCCTCCTCCTCCTCCTCCTCCTCCTCCTCCTGCTCTTCCTCCTCCTGCTCTTACTCCTCCTGCTCTTCCTCCTCCTGCTCCTACTCTTCATGCTCCGCTCCTCATCCTCTTCCTCCTCGTCCTCCTCCTCCTCTTCATCGTCCTCCTCCTCCTCCTCCTCCTCCTCCTCCGCCTCCCTCCTCGTCACTTTCCCCCCCTGGGCCTCCGCACTCTCTCCTGTCTCATCTCTGTTCTCATTTCCGCTATGTATCCTCCCTCCTTCTCCTTCTCCTCCTCCTCCTCCTCCTCCTCCTCCTCCTCCTCCTCCTCCTCCTCCTCCTCCTCCTCCCCTCCTCCCCCTCCCCCTCCCCCCCCCTCCCCTCCCCCTCCCCCTCCTCCCAATACGGCCCCGAGAGAGCTTCGAATGGGCCCAGGGCGGCCCAAAGGTAGCTTCAAGTACATGGCAGATTGAAGGGCCCGATCAGTCTTCCACTGTCCTTGGTGCGTGGCTGAAGCGGAGGTTGGCGGTGCGGATTGTCGCTGTTGCTGTTGGCAAACCGTTATCCGACCAGCCCTCTCGGCGTAAGTGGTTTAGGTCTTTCGCCTCCGAAGAACTGTGCCCGTGCAGTGTGCTCTTGTTCGTACTCCCCTGCTGCTGGTCCTCTATCTCCGCTGCAGGTACAGCGTCAGCCCGCTCTGCTCCGATTTTTCCATGGCGCGGACCAGGCCACGCGGGGCGCAGGGTGCAAGCGGCGTCCCGCCCCGTGGACTGCCGCCGCCGGCGCTGACCGTCCGTCCTCCTGACCCATCGCCTCTTCACCTCTCCGCTGGTTTCGCACCGACTTCTGGCACGACCAAGCTCAAACTGGACCCGAAAGGGGTGGAGGAAGGGATCACTGGTGGTGGTGGTGGTGGTGGTGCTGCAGCTGCTGCTTCTCGTCCCTCTCCAGGGGGGGCAGGCCTACTCCCTCCTCGTCCCCTCTCCTCCCCTCTCCTCCTCCATCCCTCTTCCTTATAAGTACAACTCCTCCGTGCCGCACCCCGAAGCCGGCCGAAAGGGCGGGCCAGCCTTTTTGCCTGAGCCTTACTCGTATTCGATGATCATGAAACTGGAAGCTGGCATCAGCTTCGAGGATGGAGGGCGGCCCCTTTTCAAACGATGCCTCTCGCCTTGACGCCGCGCACATTCGTCTTCGAAGATTGAAAGAGCTTCACCGATGGAGGGCGGTCCGTTTTCAAATTATCCCAGTGCGACCCTACCTAGGAGTTGGAGCCCCCAGGAAAGCAGCATTAGTAGTAATAGTAAAGCTAAGCTAAAGCTAAGCTGAAGCTAAGCTAAAACTAAGCTAAAGCGAAGCTGAAGCTAAAATAAAGCTAAGCTAAGGCTAAGCTGAGGCTAAGCTAACACTAAGCTGAAGCTAAGCTGAAGCTAAGCTGAAGCTAAGCTAAAGCTAAGCTAAAGCTAAGCTAAAGCTCAGCTAAAGCTAAGCTAAAGCTAAAGCTACAGCTAAGCTAAATCTAAGCTAAAGCTAAGCTAAAGCTAAGCTAGAACTAAGCTAAAACTAAGCTGAAGCTAAGCTCAAGCTAAGCTAAAGCTAAGCTAAGGCTAAGCTAAATCTAAGCTAAAGCTAAGCTGAAGCTAAGATAAAGCTAAAGCTAAGCTAAAGCTAAGCTAACGCTAAACTGACGCTAAGCTAAAGCTAAGCTAAAGCTAAGCTAAAGCTACAGCTACAGCAAATCTAAATCTAAGCTAAAGCTAAGCTAATTCTAAGCTACATCTAAGCTACATCTAAGATAGCGCTAAGCTAATTCTAAGCTAAAGCTAAGCTAAAGCTAAGCTAACACTAAGCTGATCGATAAGCTAAAGCTAAGCTAAAGTTAAGCTAACACTAAGCTGAAGCTAAGCTAAAGCTAAGCTAAAGCTAAGCTACAGCTAAGCTAAAGCTAAAGCTAAGGTTAAGCTAACACTAAGCTAAAGCTAAGCTAAAGCTGAGCTGAAGCTAAGCTAACACTAAGCTGAAGCTAAGCTGAAGCTAAGCTGAAGCTAAGCTAAAGCTAAGCTAACGCTAAGTTAAAGCTACAGCTAAAGCTAAGCTGAAGCTAAGCTAACTCTAAGCTAAAGCTAAGCTAAAGCTAAGCTAACGCTAAGCTGAAGCTAAGCTAAAGCTAAGCTAAAGCTAAGCTAAAGCTAAGCTAAAGCTAAGCTAAAGCTAAGCTAAAGCTAAGCTAAAGTTAAGCTGAAGCTAAGCTAAAGCTAAGCTAAATCTAAGCTAAAGCTGAGCTACAGCTAAGCTAAAGCTAAGCTAAAGCTAAGCTAAAGCTAAGCTAAATCTAAGCTAAAGCTGAGCTACAGCTAAGCTACAGCTAAGCTACAGCTAAGCTAACACTAAGCTAAAGCTAAGCTAACACTAAGCTGAAGCTAAGCTAAAGCTAAGCTAAAGCTAAGCTAAAGCTAAGCTAAAGCTAAGCTAAAGCTAAGCTAAAGCTAAGCTATCACTAAGCTGCAGCTAAGCTAAAGCTAATCTAAATCTAAGCTAACACTAAGCTAAAGCTAAGCTAAAGCTAAAGCTAAAGCTAAAGCTAAGCTAAAGCTAAAGCTAAGGCTAAAGCTCCCAAGGAACTGGGGGAACCGCGGGGCGGGGACTGGGGGAACCGCCCGGGGCGATTAGCATTGCCCGGCCCCTTTAGCCAACAGAGTAAGAACCCTTCTAGGCAGAGCCTAGGTAGGGAACTGTGGCTCTCGCCCCAACGCCGCGCACATTCGACGTAACAGTTAGCCAAAGTTTCACGGGAGGTCGGCTCCTTTTTAACATGTGGCTCTCGCTTTAGCGCTGCGCACATTCGTCTAACAGTTAGGAAGTGTCACGGATGGAGGGCGGCTCCTGTTCAAACTGTGGCTCTCGCCTTGGCACCGCGCGCACTCGTCGTAAAGGTTTGCAAGAGTTTCACAGATGGAGGGCGATCTATTTTCAAAATGTTGCTCTCGCCGTAGCGCCACGCACATACGTCTTAAGAGTTTGCAGCATATTGATGTATTCTCGTGGTTACCGTCCCAGAAACCGTGTTCTAGCACTGTCGGAATGTCAGGGCGCAGCCGTCACGTTGATTCGCGATGTTGAAGTCCCAAGAATGGTATTTTGGTATGGCTCAGGGTCGTAACGACGCAATAATCATGGTCCGGTGATTCGCATCGTTGAAGCCCCAGAAGTGGCGTTCTTGAACAATTCTGTATTTTCAAACGATCGTCTTCCAACGGGGCATTTCCCTCAATGAAAATGAACTCGTGTAAGAGCACATGAAGCGGAACACGCAGGGAGGGCTTATGGCAATATCGTTGGTGCACATTGGGTTTACACTGGTCCTCCTCCTCCTCTCTCCTCTCTCCTCTCTCCTCTCTCCTCTCTCCTCTCTCCTCTCTCCTCTCTCCTCCTCCTCCTCCTCCTCCTCCTCCTCCTCCTCCTGTCGCTCCTTCTTCTCATCCCCTCTTCCTCCTTTCTCTCCTCGCTCTCTCCCTCCTCTCTCTCTCTTTCCGTCCTCTCTCCTCATACTACTTCTCCTCCTCCTCCTCCTCGCCCTCGTCCGTCTCGTCCTTCTCGTCCTCGTCCTCGCCCACTCTCCCCTCTCCCTGATCCTCCTCGTCCCTCCCTCCTGCCCTTGAAAGGAAACCTCCAGGGAGATCTCCTGGAGGACCAGGGGCGACCTCCCAGAGACCTGCCCTTCAGAGGAGGAGAGACCTCTGGGAGGCCTCTAGAACACCTCTGCAACGCTACCCTTACTCGACGAGCGCGTTCCACTGCTCGCAAGTGGCCTGGATCCGCCGAGGGGGATCTACGATAAATCTCATCGAAGCAAACATTGGCGGTGGACAAACCTCCCTTTAGTAAACCTCCCTTTAACGAAAACGACCTGGGACCGAAATCGACGGACCTGGACCCGCAAACATGACGGCCGCGACGCCCTCACGCGAACCGAAAACGGCCAATTCGCTAATCGACGTGTCAGGGCAGGAGGTCTACCAACCTCTAGAAGCACACGTTTCTGTTCCGAACGTTTGCGAGTAGGCACTGCGCGACTACTGGAACGCGCTCGGTGACCTACGCGCCTGGTCGCCCGCCGTCCGCCGCTCTCGCTGCCGCCCCCCCCCCTCCCCCCCCCGCGATGCCGGCAGCGGGCGACGGCGGCACCGCGCTCCGGGATGTCGAGGTTGAGCTCGAAGCCACCCCCCAGCGGGACCTCCCCCGTCCGCCATGCGCGGACGACGGATGGAGGGGGTGCTATTGTCGGGGATGGACAGGCCCCCCTTTAGCAAAACGTGGTTTAGGCAAAACGACCTGAGGCCCAGACCTGGCGGGCGCAAGCCTGGAAAATGATGGCCACGGCGCCCTCTCGAGAACCGAAAACGGACAATTCACTAATCGACGTGTCACTGTTGGGGGTTCTGTCCAGCCCCGATATTGGTGAAGACGCCGCCTCGGCCATCTCCTCCTCGTCCTCGTCCTCGTCCTCGTCCTCGTCCTCGTCCTCCTCCTCCTCCTCATCCTCCCCCTGGTCCTCCTCCTCGTCCTAGTCCTCCTCCTCCTCCTCCTCCTCCTCTTCCTCCTCCTCCTCTTCCTCCTCCTCTCCTCCCGCTCCTGCTGCTGCCGTTCCCGTCCTCCTCCTGGCACACAGGGTCGGCTGCACCCGCCGTGGGGGCCTTCGCACTGAGAGGAGGAGACGCCGCCTCGGGAAGCTCCAAACTCGAATGACCTCATGGTCTGGAGCTGGTCCTCCTCCTCCTCCTCCTCCTCCTCCTCCTCCTCCTTCTCCTCCTCCTCCCCCTCCCCCTCCCCCTCCCCCTCCCCCTCCTCCTCCTCCTTCTCCTCCTTCTCCTCCTTCTCCTCCTCCTCCTTCCCTCCTGGCACGGAGGCATGTCATCTCGAAGTGTGGCAAGTGTCAACAAGTGAGGCTCTCGGGAGGACATTGGACACAACTATTCGGGCGACATGGGAAAGAGGAGAGGGCAAAAAGGAGGCGAAGGAGGAGGGGCGAGGGGGAGGGATGAGGAGAAGCAGTGGCATGGAAGAAGATGGAGGACAAGGACGGGAGGAGGACGAGGATGACGATGATGAGGAGGGGGAGAGATGAGATGGGGGAGGGATGGGAAGGAAGAGGTGGGGGAGAGAGAACGATGAGGATGTGAGGAGGGGGAATGATGATCATAATGATTCAGAAGGAGGCGTAGCGAAATCCGATGATGTATTCAGGGAGGATGCCGAGCCTCAAGAAATTCCTGCGGGCGCCGCACGCCTCCCCTTGGAGGCCTCAGAGGCACCCGAGGGGGATGCGAGGGAGGAGGGGGGGGAAGAGAGAGGAGGCGCCCAGGGGGACGGGGGTGGGGGGCGAGGATGGGCCCAGGAGGGGGTGGATGGGGAGGGGGTCAGGGACCGAGGAGGCGGCCGAGGGGACCCAGCGCGCGCCATGTCTGACATCCCGCCCCCCCCCCACACCCATCCCTGCCCAGTGCGCTGGTTTCTATCTATCCGCGGACGCGTGTCCTCGCGGACCTGGAACTTCACAAAAGATCCCTATCGTGTTGTTCGCAATCGGAAATGGGGAGAGCTGCGTACATAGCAGGATGATGATGAGACGGATGAGCAGGAGGACGAGCAGGAGGGACACCGAGGACGAAGTCGATAAGCAGCAGCAGCAGCAGCAGCAGCAGCAGCAGCAGCAGCAGCAGCAGCAGTAGCAGCAAGAACTGGAGTGGAAGGAGCGAGAGTAGCGGGGCGGTGGGGGGATGAGGAGCGGAACGGGGACGAGGAGACGCAGCACGAGGAGGAGAAGGAGCACCAGCAGCTGCATGCCGGTAGGCAAAGGCAACGGAGGGAATGCCCACCGGTCCCTAAACCTCTTCTGCGGTGCGGCTCGACCTGGGCTTCGGGGGTGAAGCCGGACCGCGACGACGAGAGGCCTCCCGGAGGACCGACTACGTGTGCCCACGGATTGGCAACGCGGGCCACGGATCATGCTCATGTGCCGTGCCGTCGCATTCTCGAGAGCGGGGACTGAGGCTGGCGGAGGCGACTCACAACGGCGGCAAGCGGGACCCGGGACTGGCGATGGTGAATCGCGCTGGCGAAGACCACTTCCTTCAAACTGGGTGACATGTTCAAATGAAGCTAGGTCACCTAACTTCGCGCACCGCGTCCCGCGATGCGCGACTTCTGATGTTCTTCGCGATCTGGCGTCCTCGCGCCGCCCCCCCATGGGGAAGGGCAGCCGCACTGGTCCAGGCCGCGACGGGCGAAGCGAGATTGTCTTCGTGCCCCTGGCGGTGACCCACGAAGCTTCGACGTGAGCGCCGCGCGGGAAACTCTTCCGGTCGATCACGAATCTTGGCACGCCCGCATTGGGCACGGATAGAAGGGGCACGATGGCCAGCAACAACATGTTGTTCAGACAAGAAGCCGACAACTTCCGCTGTTGGGCAGGCTGCCGTCCGTCTCAAAGGGACCCTAGCCTCGGCGACACCAACGGCGAGTCCGGTTCCAAATGGACAAGAGCTGAGCTGTCGGTCTGTGTACCCCGATTTTCCGTGCCCGTTTCGATCGTGCCGACGATCGATGCCGTCGTCCTTTGAGCAGGGACCGATCGTCCCGGCATTCCTATAGTCCTACCACGAAATGTTCTCAGAACCCAAAATGTTATAATGACAAAAACAATGTTCTTGTAACATAAACCCGATGTGTTAAAACAAGACAGTCCCAGCCATAAATGTTCTAAGAACATTTCGTGGAAACCACAAAACGGTTCTTAGAACATTGTTTGGTGGGGCTAATAGGCGAGCCAGGACGCTCCACCACTGCTTGAGTCCTGGGCACCTCGCCCCCGCCTCCCGGCCTTGCCGAAGTTCAGGAAGCCCTCGGGCGCCTCCTCGTTGGCCAGCGCGGGCGCGGCGGCGCCTCCGGAGCGGCACCGCGCGACGGGAGGGAGAGGAGCGGCGGGATAGGGGGGGGCAAAAAGAGGAGGCTGGCGGTGAGGCCGCGCACGACTTGCCGTCGCTCGGACGTCCATTTCCCGTGTGCATTTTCCGGTGTCGTGCGTGTTTTTCTTGCTCGATCGTCCAGGGTGCTCCTCGATGGTCCTCGCCAAGAGAAAGTGCACACTCTCGAGCGATGCCAGGATGAGGCAGGACGCGGAGGAGAAACGCGGGAGAAGGGGGAGGGCCGGCGGCGGAGGAGGGGCCGAGGGCGAGGAGGGTGCGCCAGCTTCTCGTGGCGTGGCGTGGCGGCCTCGTCGTTGGCTCCCCGCCACCGCGCAGGCCGCTCGGCCTCGAGGGAGGAGCGGCGGCCCCTCGGCCGCCAGGGTGCCCCGCTCTGGCCGCTCTCGGGGCCCCCGGCGGCGCTCCGCCTCGGCCGCCCGCGGCGGGGTCGCCGCCGCGTCGACGAAGGGGCCCCAGGACATACAAATAACTACACACAAATCAAAGGATTCCCCATATTGTCCCCTATTTTCGGGTTTGTGCCTCCCCCCCCACTCCCCAGATTTTCCCATATGTTCTGGGGGATCGGCGATTCATTGTCTGTGTGTTTTCTTCCTTCCCGAGTCGACACGGCGCGAGCCGACAGTGGAGGCCAATCCACAAGAAACCTTCCACAAGAAACCCAGCCCTGAGACTGCAGGACGTCCATTGACTTTTGGGTGTGTGGACGTCACGCTTTCCATAGCCAAGCCATCGAAGCCCAAGAAACCCGGGGCACCCTGGAGGCAAGCAGGGTGCTTCTTGGCACGGGCCTCCACTTTTGTAACCCCGCATCCTGCTCCTGCTCTCGCGCGCTCAGTCCGTGCGCCAGGCCTCGCGCAGCACTGGCAGGACACGTAGGGGGGGGGAAGGGAACGGCTCGCGCGGGGATGTGCGCCCTCCGATGTGCGAGTCTCGCTCGGGAAGCGCCGTGCGCGCAGAGGTGTGGGCCAGGACCGGTACGCTGGTCTACCTCCGAAGAGGCGGGCCCAAGGGGAGAGAAGCGAGGCATCGCCTGGCGCAGTCCATCGCAAGGCGCCCCCCCCAGCCAGGCCCCCACGGGCTGGACTGTGAGGCCAACAAGCAGCGAGAGGCGCTACAGCTGATGCTCGGCTCGACAGACAGCAGATGTGGGGAGAGAAGGGGAAAGGGGGGGAGCAAGACAGAAAGGGAGAGAAAGAGAGGACGTGGATGAAGGAGGGGTAGAGTGAACTCGATTCGGCTCGACTACACGCAGGGGGGAAGCGCGATGAATTCAATATTGCGCCGCCCGATGATCGACAGGAGGAGGATGAGCGCCACGCGATATGGGATAGAACGCTCAATGACAATTTTGCCAGCTCGCCCTCTCTTGCGTGAAGAAGGCGGGGCGCCCTTGCACCCGAGTCGACGAGCTGTCGAAGCCGATTTCCTCCCTCCTCATCCTGGTCCTCCTACATTCCCCCCATGTTCCTTTCCGTACTCCTCACTTCCTCACCTCACTGTCCCTCCTGCTTCCTCCTACCTCCTACTCCATGCATCCAAACTCCTCGTCTTTGCCATCCTCTTCCTCCTCCTCCTCCTCCTGCTCCTCCTCCTCATCCTCCTCCTCCAGGGTGACCCCTGGAAGCCACAAGATGGTCGGATGCTTCTCACACGAGCCCCCCCTCCCCCCCAAAAAAACAAATCTGTCCTCCGCCTCCTCCTCCTCCTCCTCCTCCTCCTCCTCCTCCCCCTCCTCCTCCCGTGACCTCGTCTTCCCGGCTGGCGCGTCGGAGCGTGCATCGGATCGGGCCGCACTGGCGCGCAGCCGGATTCGCATGGGATCGGCCGCGGCGAGACCCGCGGCAGTGCAGGCATCGGGCCGTATCGGATCGTTGGGCACGTCGAGACCGCATCGGGTCCATCGACACGGGCCCTGTCATGGCCGCTTCTCCCACCGCCCTCCTCCCTCCTGCCTCGTACCGCCATCTGCCTCCTGGAGCTGCCTACCTCCTCGTCCATTCCCGTCCCTCCCCACCTCGCCTCCCTCCTCAGTCCTCCCTCCTCGCACCCTCCTCATCCCTCATCCCTCTCCCTCCCTCCCTCCCCTCCTCCTCGTCCCCTTTTCCTCCGTGCCAGATCCACATCGGAGGTTGCTGTGCCATCGAGTCCAAGCGCCTCCCTTGGATCTGTATCCCTATGCGCGGGCTTAAGGACAACGGGTTGGGCGCCGAACGATGCGCTCCATGGTTCGGGACCCATTTGTTGGTAGCTGCTCTGCAAAGCCCAGCCACCTGGGGACCTTCCGCCCGTAAAAGAAGAGCATTGTCTTGAATCCTCCTCCTCCATCTCGTTTTCCTCCTCCTCCTCCTCCTCCGCCTTCATCCCTTGTCCTTATTAAGAACGCCTCCCAGTCCCTGTCGCACTCACTCCGAGGCATGTCGGTAGGGCGGGCTGGGCGTTTAGCATAGGACACAATTCATGATCCTTGAGATGAGAATTTGCAAGAATTTCACATTTGGAGGGCGGGTCCTTTTCAAAATGAACCCGGCGCGACCCAACGTAGGGGAACGCTTCCTATTGCATGAGCGCAGTGCTTGGCATTGTTTGGCATTGCTTTCTGTTGCTTGGCATTGCTCGGCAACGCTCGGCGTTGCTTGGTGTTGCTTGGCATTTCTTGGCATTGCTTGGTACCCGAAGAACCCAGAGAACCTGGTGAACCCGAGGACTCTCCAGGGAACGGGCAAAGTAAGCCCCCGAGGCACCAACCTTTAACCAAGCAAGAACACCTTAGGCAAGCCTGATTGGGGAATGTGGCTCTCGCCTTCGCACCGCGCACCTACGCCTTGGAATTGTATTTTTCCACGGATCGAGGGCTGCCCAATATAAACATGTGGCTCTCGCCTTAGCGTTGCGCACATTCGCTAACACTATATATGTCATAGTTTCACGGATTGAGGGCGGGCCGATTTCAAATGCGGCTACGTCTTAAACATTTGCAACAGCTTCACGGATGGAGGGCGGGCCGTTTTCAAACTGTGGCTCTCGCTAAAAAGCCGCGCACAATCGTCTTCAACACATTCATTAGTTACACGGGTGGAGGGCGGTTTTTCAACATGTGGCTCTCGCCGTAGCGCCGCGCACATCCGTTGCATACTTTACAATCGTTTAATGGGTTATCAGAGTTAACGTCCCAGAAACAGTGTTTTGGCACGATGTCGGACAGTCAGGGCGCAACAGCCACGTGGATTCGCAGTGTTGAAGTCTCAGGTGTGGTGTTCTGATGTTCTGGCACGATTCAAACTAGTCAAGGCGCAACACTATCGGTGATTCGCAGCGTTGATGTCCAAGGGATGGCGTTCTGATTCAGAATTCTCCATCGGTTGTCCTCCAACGGGGCACTTCCCTCAGTGAAAATAAATTCCTGTACGGGCCTTTGAGGCGGGAACTTGGGGAGAGCGTTCATTGCAATGTCGTTGATGAGTCTTGGATTTCCACTGGTCCTCCTCCTCCTCGTCCCCTCCCTCCTCCTCCTCCTCCTCCTCCTCCTCCTCCTCCTCCTCCTCCTCCTCCTCCCTCTTCCCCTCTTCCCTCCCTCCCTCCCCCTCCCTCCCCCCCTCCCTCCCCCCCTCCCTCTTCCCTCCCTATTCCCCTTCCTCTTCCCTCCCTCTTTTCTCCTCCCTCCTCCTCCTCCTCCTCCTCCTCCTCCTCTCCTCCCCTTCTTCCCCTCTTCCCATCCCTCCCCCCCTCCCTCCCCTTCCCCCCCTCTTCCCCTCCCTCCTCCTCTTCCTCCTCCTTTTCCTCCTCCTTCTCCTCCTCCCCCTCCCCCTCCCCCTCCCCCTCCCCCTCCCCCTCACCCCCTCCTCCTCCTCCTCCTCCTCCTCCTCCCCCTCCTCCTCCTCCTCCCCCTCCTCCTTTCTCCTCCTCCTCCTCCTCCTCCGCCTCCTCCTCCTTTCTCCTCCTCCTTCCCTCCCTCCCTCCCCCCCTCCTGCCTCGTGCCGCCTCCCGCCTCCCGGAGGACTGCTCCGCGCGCTTTGCCCCTGCCTCCCCCCCCCGCCGGGGCGGGCGGGGCCTGCGACCACGGCGACCGCCGCGGCGGTGCCGGCCGGGTGCGGCATCCGGGCCGCGGGGAGGAAGCAGCCTGGCAGGGGGGGACCCAGACCTCCTCGAATCACGAAAAAATCACGACGGGAGGTTTTTCGCGATTTTCGGCCTCTGGAGGCCCTTACCGGGCCTCGGGACCGTCAAAAAACGACTCGGGATGAAAAACCGGTCCCGGGGAACGGGTCGAGACCTCTGGGGGTCGACGTCGTGAAAAAATCATGACGTCGGGGTCTGGGGAGGCTCCAAGGAGGGAGGGGGAGGGAGGGAGGTAATTTGGGCAGGGATGGGCTTCGAGAGCTTCCGATCTATCCGGCGCGGTCGCTGTGTGGGGGGCGGGGAGCGGCTCTGGGGACCCGGGGAGGGAGGGGGGGGGCTCCAGGGAGGCACGGGGCAGAGGGGGGGGGAGGTTTCAGGGAGGAGGGGGGTGGGGTGGGAGGAGGCACGGAGGGGAGGCTCGGGGACAGGGGGGGTGGAGTGGAGAGGAGAGGGGCGGGGGCGGGGGTCGGAGAAGGGCGGGTGGAGGGAGGGTGGAGGCGAGGGAGGACGGAGGGAGGACGGAGGGAGGACGGAGGGAGGACGAAGGGAGGACGGAGGGAGGGTGGAGGGGGCCGCCTGCGGTGCGCGCGGCGAGGGCGGCGGCGAGCCCGAGGACCAGGCAGGCCGCGAGGCCGGGGCGGCGGGCGGCGGTCCTGGGACGGGGCCGCCGCTGCGCCGCCGTGCCGCCGTGGGGGGGGCAGCTCCCCCCCCAATCCCTCGAGAGGGGGAGCACGACCACTTTGGACGCCCGACATGGGTACCGAAAAAATGGGTACGATGCCCAACAACAAATGTTGTCCCAAACCAACAGCGGCCGCTGTTGGGCAGGCGGCCTCCTGTCTCGAATGGACACAGGCCGCGGCGGCGTGGACAGCGAGGCCTGTTCAAAATGAACGGGAACTGCTGTTGGGCATTGTACCCATTCTTTCGGTACCCATTTCGGGCGTCCAGAACCATGGTGTCCGATGATCCCCAGTGCCCGGCATCGCATCATCCTGCTCCTCTTCGTGCTCCGGAGCTCCTTCTCTTCTGCTCCTCCTCTCCCCGGTGCCCAGCTCTGGAACTCCTGCTCTTCTGCTCCTCCTCTCCCCGCCGCTCTACGTGCACTGCGCACTGTTCGTTAGCATTGCGTTCCTCGGCTTTAGTTTAACTACCTTGAGGCTCACTGCGTCCAATTGCATTGCATTGCGCTGTACTTCTGGTCATTATCTTGCATTCCATTGCACTGCTCGCTTTACTTCGCTCTCTGTGTTGTTGCCTTGCGCTGCGTGGCATCATGTTGCAGTGTTGCTTTAGGATAGCATGATTTGCACTGCGTTGCTTTGCCTTGTCTTGCGCAGCATTGCACTGTGTTGCAGTGGGAGAAAGAAGACGCCTGCTGGTGGCCGCGCTGGATTAGTTTTTACCCATGAACTTTCTGCACATTCCAAGCCTCGTGTCACCGCTTAGTTCCCCGCGAACCCTGTTCCATGTCACCCCTCCCCGAGGTCCCCTTCCCCCCCCTCGCCTCTCGGCTACACAGAAGAGGGACCCTAGGCAAGAGTGACCCTCGGAGCGCGGCTTTTGCTGCCGGGGGGCAGAGATACAAGCGTGCCACCCAGTGCGGGGTGGATCCCTCCAGGCCTACACTAATGGTTGCTCTGGCGAAGGGTCACTCTCACGCGCAAGCGAATCTCCCCCCCCCCCCTGGACAGGAGAGCCCAACATCGAATCGATAAGTCGGATCGGCGGTCGAAAGGAATCGGATCGGCGGAAATCGGCAGCAGAGTCGGGAAACATCGAATCGGCGGAAATCGGCAGGCACGTCAGGCCTCCATCGAGAAGTCGGAGCCGAAATCGGAGTCCGCCGTCGAATCGAATCGGAATCGGAAGCCATCGAGGTCGAATCGAATCGGAGGAATCGGAATGAGCCCCGCCTGGATCGGGACCCCGGGCCCAATCTGGCCCTCCCTGGGCCGTCCCCCTTTCCCCCCCCGGCCGCCCACCACGCCGCGCCCGCGTCCCTGCCCCACTGCTGGGCGCCTCTGGGCCTCCCATGGGCCGCGAGAACAGAATCACAACGAGGAGAGCATCACAGCCCGCGTGCGACCTGGAATCTGGGACGCCTGCCTTGGCGCCCTCGCGCCCCGCGTCCTCGCGCCGCCCCCCTGAAAAAGGGCAGCCGCTTCGGCCCGGACCGCGACGCGCGGAGCGCGATCACCTTCGCTCCCCCGCGCGTGAACTGGGGCATGGATCCCGCGAGCGCGACCTCCTCGTCGCACCGCTGCTTCCACCATGGCTGCGAACCGTAGCTGACATTCTGGGGTTCATGCCCTCCTTTCAGTCATCCTGATGCCATACCAGTCGGGGCGTTGACCTAAACAACCCTCGATAAGAAACGAGGCCCCTTTCTTCCAGAAGATAAACTTCGACGTCCCATCGAAAACCCGAGGACAACCGAATGCAACCTGTAAAACAATTGAGGACCACTGAGCCCCTCCCCGACGAACAGGGTTCCTTCTTCAGCGCCCCGACGGTAAGCAACGCTCGGCAAGGACCACAAGAGCTCTTCTGTGAAGGGGCCCTGGGACACACAACTCAATAGACACCAACAACAAAATGCCCCATGCTGTCCCATTTTTCCTGGATTGTCGTCTTCCCCCCCACTTCCCGTAACTTTCCCATATTCTCGGCCGAATCGACGAGTCACTGTGTCTCCGTTTTTTTCCCTCCTGACTTCTGGGCACGCGCCGAGCCTCGGCACGAGGCCCCAACACGGCCCCCGCTGCGCCCACAGGCGGTCCTTGGTTTCGGCGTCTTGGCTGCGCCCCCTCTGGCCCCCCTTCGCCCCTCCTCCTGGCCCTCCTGCCCTCCTCCTGCCCTCCGCCTGGCCCTCCTCCGCCCTCTCCCCCCCTAGCCCTCTTCCGTCCCCTCATCCAGAGTCCTCCGTTTCTGCCTCCTCTCCCTCCCCCCTTCCCTCTCGCTTTCCTCGCTCTCCACCCTGCCGTCCTCGCCCTCTTCCTCGTGATCGTCTTCATCACCGTCCTCCTCATCTTTCTCACCCTCCTTCTTTTTCTCCTTTTTCACTGCGCCCCGTCTGACGCGCTCAAAACACAATGGATACTCAAACCTTCCAAGCTCAGCGAACTGGAATAACCAAGCTCACAAGCAATGACACCTCAACGCCATACATCCACTGCCAATCCCACGATTGCCATCAACGCATGGAACCAATTCGCCGCTCTATTTGCTCACGGGTGATCTCGCTGCGCTCGTTAACGTCGAGCGCGTCGAAATGCGCGTTGAGAGATTTCAGCATGGCATGTGTCACGATGCCATCCTTCAGAAGGAAATATAGATGATGTTCAACGCGCGACAGATGTCCGTCGTGCTGTGCGCCAAGAGCATCGAAGAGATCGTCTCCTGCCGGTTGCTGCTTTCGATCCTCATCACTCGCATGTTCAAATATAAACGACGACATCGCTCCGATCCAATTTGCTGTCGACCAAACCCCTGACCAAGGCAGGCAAACCACAAGGATACGAGCCTGTATGTGTATGTATTCGTATGTCTATATAACATATCAACACTACCTGGAGGAAGGGAGGGGGGCGAGGGGAGAGGAGCCAGAACCCTACTATCCTTGTGATTCGGCATGCCCGGACCTAAGATCATCCAAGCGATGCCCACCCATCGGCCAACATGTGTCTCTGGAGTGAAGTCACCAAATCCAACTGTCGTGAGGGTTATTACCGAGAAGTAAAAGCCGTTGACCCAAGTTTTTACCTCGCCATGTGTCTCGACACACGTATCGTAGTCTGTGTCACTGCACCCGGCAATTAATGTGTCACCATACGAGCATGAACAGTCTTCGTATATTGCGTAAAAAGCTGTCCCAAACAAGAGTGCGCACACAAACAACAATGTTGCAACACAAAGCTTCCGTCGCTCATTCGAAAGGCGCCCTGCTCGCAATGACAAGTGAGCCTTCGAAATGTCGCCGACTGAATCCAAGAGATGTTCCAATAGTGCCTGTTGACGGTCAATTGCCGCCTTCATAACCACATTAAGGAAATACGCAAACACAACAAGCGTCATTATCACAAACCCGCTCATCATTATTCTCATCGTCTGAGACTGGGGCGTGATGTCGCCGTATCCGATTGTTGTCACGATCTGTACCAGGGCGTAGAGGCCGGTGATGACATCGAGGCCCTCGAAATGGTGGAGCCCCATCCACACAGCAATGCACAT